GCATTGAGTTATAAAATAACATTGATGCCGATTCATATTCAAATTCCAATATGTCTGTATTTTTTTTTTTTTGTTAAAATAGAAATAGAGCAGGTATATGGTTGGCACGAAAATAAAGTAAATTTTAATTCAAAAATAAGGATGAAGCGTTCCAAGAACCAACACCTACAATTTCAGAACAATAAGTAATAAGGGGATTGATTCGAGGATACTACATTATTTGTTATTACATCGATTTGAGAATTGGTTTAAATGTGATTGTATTTGATTCTTATTAGAGTACCGTAAACTGGGGGTACTTTGCGCCATTGATGAAAAGTGTTTAATTCAGTATTAAAGCTTAGACAAGATGTTTTAGAAGTCTGTCTATACAGCTGTGTTTTAAGTGTTGCCTATGCAGTTCCAATAAAGATTCAAATTATTGTTCTACGTGCAGTCTTGTACAAGCAATCGGATGATAAACAGGTGTGCCAAAAATTTATTAATTTTTGACCTTAAAAATTTGGTGTGTGCAGCAATTTCTGTTAATCTCTACCTATTTAGTAAGTATACACTATATTCGGACAAAATATTGAAGAAGGTGATTCCTTCCTGTTCACGTACAACAATAATACTATACCATAGCATAATGAAAGGAATCACGCGCTTAAAACTGCAGAAGTTATCGGTATCACGTGCCAACTAGTCATAAATGCATGTTTATTGCCAAAAGTTCAATAGGATTGAATTCGCAGTGATAAGGGAAACGTCTTAATATTATAATACCACGATCACGAACCATTGTGTCGATAACATATTAAATATATTGATGGCGGTGTTCCTTTATTAGGTCCATTAATTCCACTTTAAGCATCTCCTCAGTAAATGTTATTGCTTTATCCCGCAGCCACGTCTGCATATCCGCTTTCCTACTGGACATTATCGGAATGCGTTCAACTCGTAGACTGTGATAAGAAGCGTTATCTAGTACAATAACTGAATTTCGTTCTACACGCTGTAATACTTCAGTTAACCATTTTTCAAAGAATTCCGCATTTATGTCCTCGTGGCAGTCTCCCGTTTTTTTCAATATAAACACAAGAGCGCTATTTTTTAAAAATCCACTGTCACTTCCGATATGGGTAACAATTAGGCGCTGTCCATTACCTGATGGTGCTTTTAAACCTGTAGATACTCCCTCTATAAATGCTTGGCGATGACTAGTTACAGAAGTATCTTGCCATATCTTAGATACCGTGTGTCCAGCATTCACCCACGTTTCATCAAGATAGTATCTTTTTTTAGCAGTTCTAAACTCTTTAATATTTCGTAAATAACGCCGTCGCCAGGACACTATATCTGACCTCTCAATTAAAATTGATTTCCTACACCGTTTGACAAAACGAAATTTTAGGCCCCATAAAATTTTTCGTAAAGTTTCACGGCTTATTAATGGAATTTCTTTGTTTTCTCTTAATTTCTTAAGAACTACTTTAAGTGTTGGGGCTTGGTTTTCGAAAAAAAAAAAAAAAGAATCTACAGTTCTTCGAATGATTTGTTTTTGGTTATCGTCCAATTTCAACAATTTTCGACCACGGGTATGCGTTTTAGGGGCTTTTTTTTGTCTTTTCGCGTACAATACGTTCAATTGTTGAAACAGATACTCCAGTTAAAAAAGAACTGCGGTTTACAGCTTCATTTGTAGGAAGTGTCTGTTTCAGCCCATCATATACTTTCCATATAATGTTCTTTTTATCCTTTGATAAGGGCTTTTGCCGACGTAACTGGGTTTCATTTGGACCCGCCTCTGAATCCATTACTATTATAACAATATAATTCTACTATTAAATTGTTTTTATTAAATTTATAAAGACACCAATATTTTACCATTTAATAAACTTTTAAAGTACCTACCTAATATACTACACAATGAATATAACTCCTCGAATATGCACTACCACTACCAAATTGTAAGGCACAAACATGAACCCCTACTCGTATATCAGAAAAGAGCACTTATACAAAAAAGTGTTAATAAAATATAAAATAATTATCGTAAATAATTAAAGCGATACAAATCTAACTTCGTCGAAAATTAGTTTTCAGGCGAAAGTAGTCTACCTTGCCAAAGTAGGTAGGGTCACAGACCAAACGCCAAAGTCATATCGCCCCATAAGCCTATCCTCCTTCCTACTTAAAACACTAGAAAGATTAATAGATAGGTATATCAGGGACGATATACTAAAAATAAATCCGCTCCATCCCAACCAATATGCATACCAGCCAGGAAAGTCAACTGACCTAGCGCTGGACGATCTAAACAGGCTGCTTTCAAAGTCAATAGATGACAAAGAAATCGCAATAGCCACTTTCTTAGATATTGAAGGAGCTTTCAACAATGCCTCAACCAGGTCAATAACCAAGGCTCTAGAAGGGAGAAACGTCCCAGTAACAATATGCCAGTGGATCACTGCCTGTCTAGAGAATAGGATTATTTTATCCACTCTAGGAAAGGCAACCATACAGGCAAAAGTTACACGGGGCTGCCCACAAAGAGGAATACTATCTCCAATGCTGTGGTCAGTTCTCGTGGACGACTTACTCAAAATATTGTCTAAAGAAGGCTACCAGTGCCTAGGATACGCAGACGACCTAGCAATCATCGTCAGGGGGCGATTTGCAGGTACAGTTTCGGAGCGATCTCAAACAGCTCTAAACATAGTGAACAACTGGTGCAAAAAGGAACAATTGTCCATCAACGCACAAAAAACAACAGTTGTACCATTCACAAAAAAACGGGTACTCACAGGTCTAAGACCACTAGTACTAAACAGCACAGTTATCCCATTCGTCACAGAAGCCAAATACCTCGGAGTCATATTTGACCAAAGGCTGACATGGAATCAACATCTCAAAAAACTCACACATAAAGCTACAATAGCTCTCGTAAGCTATAGAAGAATATGTGGGAAAAACTGGGGTCTAAACCCCAAAATGACCATATGGTTATACACAAGGGTAATAAGACCCATGATAACCTATGGCGCAGTGGCGTGGGTAACCAAAACTGCGCAGGCAAGTGCAATAGGCCAACTCACTAGCATTCAGCGGCTTGCCTGTCTAAGTGCTACTGGGGCCATGCGCACTACGCCGACCGCAGCAATGGAGGTATTACTAAATCTCACGCCATTGCACATCTTCATACAAGGAGAAACCAGGTCAGCTATTCACAGGCTAATGCAGGGACAAAACCCAATAAGCCAACTACATAGCGCCGACCACACAAGGCTATATCAGCAAGTACAAAGGGATAATATTCTAGCTATGCCTACTGATAGAGCCATAACCACATACAAATTTGAAAGAAATTTTCAAATTCAAATACCAGCCCGAGAATCCTGGAAACAGGGACCTCCCGTACAGGCTGAACTCGTCTGGTACACAGACGGTTCAAAAACCAAGGAAGGAGCCGGTGCTGGAATCTATGGACCTAAGTCGAAATCAACGATTTCACTAAGCTTAGGAAAATATGCAACAGTGTTCCAGGCTGAGCTAATAGCCATACAACACTGTGTAAGAGAAATATTAAATCAGCAAGTATCAGGCAAAACTATTGCCATATACTCTGATAGCCAAGCAGCTCTAAAGGCAATTCTCTCACCAGAAATCAAATCACGACTGGTGAAAGACTGTTTAGAAGACCTGACAGAGCTAAGTAGTCAAAATAAGGTGACCTTAGCCTGGGTTCCAGGCCATGAGGGATATCAGGGCAACGAAAAGGCCGACGAATTAGCCCGAGAAGGCTCAGATAAGGCCATGACAGGCCCTGAACCCTTTTGTGGAGTCGCTAAGGCACTATGCAAGGCATCCATTAAACAATGGATGCAAAAAGAGTCTCAGGAATGGTGGAACAACTATCCAAGACTGAGACAGGCCAAACAGTTCATCAAGGAACCATCGGCCAAGTTTACGAAAGACCTACTGGATCAAAAACGTCAAATCGTTAGGATAACAGTAGGCCTTCTTACTGGACACTGTCGCCTCAAAAGGCACATGGGTGTCATAAATCCAGCAGAAGAAGCAACTTTGTGCAGGTTCTGTGAAGAAGAAGAGGAAACATCATTCCACGTCCTGTGCCAATGTGAAGGCTTGGCTGGAATGAGGTTTCTAACATTGGGCGAAGAAAAGCCAATTGCATGCAACTACATGCGGGAGCCACTGTCAAAGCTACTAAGTCTAATAAAAAAGACCAGGCTAGACGACATACTCTAAAACAAACGGAGTCCCACAATAGATCTGAAAAGGTCGCGGTGGACAAGGACAAATAACGTCCAACTCCTAATCTAATCTAATCTAGTTTTCAACTGTCTTTGTGCCTGTACTAACAATATTCAATCTGTAACCCGTCTGTCGTTTATTTACTTGAAACATATTTTAAAACTATTAAACACAGATAACGAAGTCATTAGGGAATAAATATATTCATTTCCTAAAAACTATCGAAAAAATATATATTTAATGCATCATCTTTGTTTAAATAAAAATGTTGGTAAACAAATTTAATAAAGTTTACCAACAAATACCTAATAAATAATAAATAATAAATAATTATTTGGTATTTGATACGCCGCCTATGCTAACTCTGTCGGAATTTTCATTCGTGGCAACAATGTTGATCATGCATATGACTCACCTTCTCCAATATTTTGTCCGAGTATAGTTAATATTTTATTTTATTAACGCGTTAACAAGTTAAGCCAGTTGTCAATTGTCAAAGATTACTTTTTATAATCGACAAGAAAAGGTTGTAGACAATTAATTTAGGCAATGGTTTTCAAATTGTAATTATCTATTCAGTGGCGAAATAAGATACCTCAATATAGTAATTAATAAAAATGTCGTAATAACGCTCTTTTGGGTGTAAAATTAAAAAACCAGTATTATTTGTTATTTTACTGTAAAAAATAGTTGACTTTTAATGATGGATCAATTATATTATTAATTATAATCGTTGTACTCACCCAGGTGGCTGGTAACTTGCAGACAAAAACGACTTTGGCAACGACATGGATCTCTGTTGCATCTCCAACGTATTATTACTCCTTTCCTCGGACGGTGCACTACCGGGCCGCGTTATAATAGTTTCGCGCACTTTGATACCATCATCAAACTCTTCGTCATGACCTAACGATGTTCCTGAACTTTTTACACTATTTTTAAACGACATTGACGCCGTCAACCAAACATCACTGCCCGACGAGGATCCACTCACGGTACCGAAAGTCGGTGTTCGACTTTTTGGATTTATCGGTGACGTTTTACGACTGTCTGGTTGATCGCGTTTCGATTTGTTCGGACTCAGACGTCTTTCGCTTAACATATTAGACCTGAAAAAAAAATACTATGTGTCATTTATATTGATACAACTTGTTATATTTGTTCAAATTCCTGGTATTTTTTAAAACATTCATTTTTAAATGTACCAGCTAAGGGTTTTATGAGCTTGGGAACCAGCAATGGTTTATTTGAAATTTAATCAGTTAAGATTTAGATATTGGAAAAAGCAACACTAAACAATAAAGTCATATTTTTCAATAATTATTTTATTCTCATGAACTTGTCTACTAAATCCCCTGTATTTTCCAAAAAAATGTTAGAAATATTTTATTGCAGGTTTCGCCTTCGTCAAGTCTCCTAATACAAACAATAAATAAAGGGAACAATTCAAATGTTTTAGAAGATATTCAAAAATGTGTAAATCCTGCAGATTTAAAAGTATGCATTAATGGTACAAAAAAAACTAAGAATGGTTTAATTATAAATTGTGATAATCAAAAATCTCTGGATAAACTTAAAACTTCGATAAATAATCAACTTGGTAAGAAATATACGGTCAGTGAAGCCAAAAAGTTTAACCCCCGACTTATTATAAAAAATCTTCATATAGATGAAGATATGTCCTACGAAGAAATAGCTAACACTATTTTCTCTCTCAACCAAATGGATGCCTTTAGTTCCTGTGATCTTAAAATTGTTACTGTGCTAAGATATTCTCAAAAGACATATTGTGATATTGTTTTGGAAGTTTCCCCTTTGTTAAGAAACCATTTGTTGCAAAAATCTTTTGTGCATATAGGCTGGAAGGGATGTCCAGTAAATGACTATTTTAGGGTTGTTCGATGTTATAAGTGTTCGGGTCTAGGTCATGAAGAAAAAAATTGTGAAGGTAAAAGGATTTGTCCTATTTGTGCAGACGAGCACTCTATAAAAGATTGTAAAGCAGATCGAAAGAAATGTAGTAATTGTTTTATTCATAATAGTAAGTACAAAACCAGCTTAGATTCTAACCACGCTGCCAAAGATGTAAGTAAATGTCAAATTATTCAAAATTATATATCTAATCTAAAAATTAATATAAAGTATGAATAAAAGGAATATCTATAAGCATAACACTTTAAAAATTGGACATATCAACGTTCGATCGATCTTAGCTGGTTTTAATGACTTTTCGACTATTGTTTGTGATAAAGATTTTGATATTGTAGCTGTGTCAGAGACATGGCTTAAAACTGATATACCATCTTCTCTTATACATATTGATGGATATAATTTTTTTCGATATGAAAGAAATAGCCGTGGTGGTGGAGTTGGAGTTTTTGTCAAAAGTAAATATCACTGTCAAACTGTCACATCTGGGCAAAGTGTAGACTTGGAGTATTTATGGGTTAAAATAAAAATTAATAGCAGATGTGTTTCAGTTGGTATTTTATATAGACCACCGAAGGGATCTGTGCCAAATTTTATTAATTTGCTGGATGATATGTTGACATCAATTGTGCCACAATTTGATAATATTTTTGTAGTTGGTGATGTAAATATCGATTTAACTAACGCTGACAATAATGTAAATCGTTGCTTTGAAGCCTATGGTCTAAAACAAGTCATTTCAGAGCCTACACGCATCACAAAAACCTCAGCTACGTTATTAGATCCTATCTATATTGAAAAATCTAAAATTTGTTTGGTAAGTGGTACTCTAAACGCTGATCTCTTTTCTGATCATAGGTTTGTTTACTGTGTTTTAAAATTTGAATGTGTAAATAATCGACAAAAGTTTATTACCTTTAGAGATATTAAAAAATTAGATATGCATGCTTTTAATAATCAATTAAATAATATACATTGGCTTGATATAGTTACTGTAACAGATATAGAAAACAAAGTCAGATTTATTACTAATAATATTACTAAATTATTTGATACTCACTGTCCGTATAAAACAATAAGGGTCAGTAAACCTCGATCTCCCTGGCTAACAGAAAATCTCAAACTGATATACAATGAACGAAATAAAGCACTGTCTCGTTTTAAGCGCCTAAAAACGCCAGAATCTTGGAATAACTATAAACAGCTCAGAAACTTTGCTCTTTGTTCTACTAGAAATGAAAAAGCTGCCTCTCTTCGTCATGTAAGTGCTCAAGGTACATCAACATTTTTTAAAACTTTGAAAACGATGAATATACAAGCTTCTAAAAATAATGACATACCATACGAATTAACTGATCCATATAAAATTAACGATGCCTTTATCTCAGTTTTTCAAAACAGTAATGAAAACTGCTTTGAAAAAATTGCGTACTACAGAACAAATAAATTTAATTTTAATAAAACATTTGAATTTAGCCTTGTTGATGTTGACACCATCTCCAAAATTATAGGTGCAATAAAATCGAATTCCAGTGGCGTAGATAATATCTTTAGAAATGCTTAAACTTTGTATGCCAGTGATTTCTATTTATATTACGCACATTGTGAACTGTTGCCTTGAAAGCGGATATTTTCCTGATCAGTGGAAAAAAGCAGTCGTGGTACCTCTTCCAAAAAAACAAATCCAACTACTTTTAATGAATTGCGTCCTATAAGTTTACTTCCTATTCTCTCTAAAGTTTTGGAGAGAATAGTGTATGAGCAAATCTATTAATTCTTTTCATCTAATAATATACTTCCATTGCATCAATCAGGATTTCGAAAAGGGCACAGTACCACCACTGCTCTTTGCCACTTAACGGACTCAGTAATGTCGGAATTGGATCAAAAACAAGCCACAGCCCTAGTGTTACTTGACTATACTAAAGCGTTTGATACTTTAAATCACCTTTTATTAATTTCTAAATGCAATTATTATGGTTTTTCTGAACAGCCACTTTCTTTTATAAAAACATATCTTAATAATCGTTCGCAAAAAGTTTTACTAAATAGTCAATCATCAAGTTTCCTATCAATTCAATCTGGAGTTCCGCAGGGTTCCATTCTAGGGCCTTTGCTATTCCTTATTTATACGTCTGATTTAAACAAACAAATACAAACGTGCAAGGTCCAATTTTTTGCTGATGATACTCAATTACATCACACTCTTGATGATAATAACTCTAATGCAGCACAGAATATAATGAACGCTGATTTATCACGAATAAACACATATTCTGTAAACCATAACTTGCATTTGAATGCTTCTAAATCTAAGTTAATTTTATTTTCGAATACCAACTCACGTTCAAGCATAAAAAGTAATATGTCAATTAAAATTGATGACGATACAGTCCCGTGTGTAAATGTAGCTAGAAGTCTAGGCTTACTTTTAGATGAGAACATGCGGTTTATTGAATATGTGAATAACCTCTCTTCTCAGTGTTATTTAACATTAAATTTATTATTTGCCAATAAGTATATATTGTCACAACAAATGAAAAAATACCTTTGCGAAACTCTAATATTGAGTAAAATATTATATTGCATAGTAATTTACTATTCTTGTTTAGATTTAGTAACTTCGAACAGACTGCAAAAAATTCAAAATACCTGCTGTCGCTTTATTTATGGGTTGCGCAAATATGATCACATTTCAACATATTTTAGGCAGCTGCAATGGTTAAACATCAAAAACTTATTTAAATATCATCTTCTCTCTTTTGTCCACAATATACTAAAATCTCAAAATCCACCATATTTGGCAACTAAATTAATTTCTCGTAATCAGATTCACAATGTAAATATCCGCAGACAATTTATACTAACAATGCCACAACACACATCTGCTATTTTTGCTAGAAGTTTTACGTACAATGCCATTAAACTTTATAATGAACTAGACGATGAGCTAAAAAATACTTATTCTCGATCAAGTTTTAAACACAAACTAAAAAAACTCCTACTCCAACAGCAAGCCAACAATTAATACGTTTGTTTTTTCCTATATTTAAAATTTAAATTTATTTTAATTTTACTACTTTTATTATTGTTTTGATATGTTTTCTACTGTTTTAACCTTATTTGTGTATTGTATTTTAACATTTCAACATTTTAACATTTTAATATATCTTAATACTTTCTGTTTTAAATTAAGAGGAGTTAGATGGAAGAATAGCCTATGGCTAAATCTCGCTCCATTGCTAAAATTTTTGTAATATTTTGAAAAATTATCAATAAAGACGGTTTATTATTATTATTATTATTATTATTATTATTATTATTATTATTATTAGTAAGGTTATTCTAGCAATACTGTGCGCCACCACATTTTGCATTAACTGTTCGTCAGTATTTGGATCAAATGTTTCCAGGTCAATGGATCGGAAGAAAAGGAAGTATTGAGTGGCTCCCCCGGATCTAACCTCGTTAGATTTTTTGTGGGGTCACTTAAAAATTAAAATTTATGCCACCCAGCCTACATCACTGTAATCTAGGTAAAAATACCTTCAAAATAAGATATCTTTTCATTTAAGATTTTAGGGGTGAGTCTTACCCCCGCTAAATAGTTTCCGTTCAGGGGGTGAAACTGGCAAAAAATGCAAATGACCTGGTATACCCAAATTCGTTTTCAAATGGCCTACCCGTATAAACTTGAATTTAAAACGAACAGCCAATAGAATAAAAAATAAAACTCAAAATTGATATCACATACATGGAGTCTAATCTTATGTGAGCCCACCAAATAAAAGTAATAAAGGATTAAAAATATATTTTTAAATAGAAAGAATAAGAAGGTGTATAAAATTAAAAGTCATTGTATTGAGTGCTTTTTTTAAGTCGTCTGGGTTACTCGCGAGCAGTATTACAGCTAGGCCTGACTCTAACTGAACGATTTTTTAACTATGCTTGCTGATCTAAAGAAATAGGGGAAACATCACTTCTACTGTATGATGATATGCTAATAATATATTTGAGAGAAGGATCACCTCGGTGGATTTTCGGATAAAGAAGAAGAGGAAACATCAATTCCACTGTACGATGATGTTCTAGGAATAAACTGATGGAAAGAGTCACCACAGTGGCTTTTTGGATGAAGAAGAAGAGGAAACATCCATTCTACGGTACGACGATGTTCTAAGAATAATACTAAGAGAAGGGTGCAAATGACCTTGCCATCATAGTAGAAGCACAACATAAAGATCAACCAGCAGGCGCTCTCGATAAGGAATCCTTTGATATTAAGTAAGTGAGGTTTCGTCCGCTTCAATCATAATTCTGGTGCATATGCACTAACTTTGCTCTGTACAAAAGATGCTACACGAATGATGTTGAGCATCCGGAGAAAATGGCGAATTGCTTACTTAAGATGCTGTCGGCACACTTATATTTTTACGCGAAGAGTGCCTGAAGGTTCATCTTTATACTGTGGTAGAAGCAAATGACGTAAAAGAACTAAACTTCAAAGCAAATAAAGTAACGGACTGTATTGTCAGGTTAGATATTGCGCCATACAGAAGAAGTCATACTGACCTAAGAGAAGAACGGATGTAGACAAGTTAAGTACCTCAGTGTCATGCTAGACGACAAACTAGTAAATTACATAAACTAAATGCTTTGCTAATAGGATTATAAAAAAATGTAAGGGGCTCAGGAAGCCTAAATAGGACAGCATTAAGTATATGATGTAATACAGTTCATACTGTTGTATGCAGTTTTAGTTTGAAAAGATGTCACGAAGGTAAAGAGCTTAGGAGCATCTAAGGAGAAACCTTATTAAGATTTGTAAGTGGATACAGAATAGTGTCTGCTGTATAGGCGATAACGGGCATCCCACTCATTGATTTGCATACAGAGGAAAGATACAGGCTATACAGATGAGAGGATAGTCATCTGGAAATGATGCAGAGAGAAGAAACGGAGTATACCCTCGCAAAATGGCAGGAGATGCGAAGGCAATATGGGGATACGGGAACTTGAATGAAGTAATTAATTATGTCAAAGAGTGAAACAATTGTAAATATAAGACAACTGACTTCTATCTTACACAATTTCTATCAGGTCATGGCAGACTTGGAACGTATATGGCAAAAATGAAACATACGGATACAGCAGAATGCAAATACTGTCAGATCAAGGACTAGTAGGAGCATATTAGGACATCTATGGAACGTGATCTGCTATTTGGGCGTGTACTATTTAAATCTCCAATATCAACATATCCCTATTTTTACATAAACAATGTAATGTCACATAACGTCATTTCGATAACAAAATATTAATTTCATAATAAATTAAAAGGGGGGGAATGTTAATATATGTACAATTTTTTATGGTAGAAGCTCTCTTGTTTATCTACTAATAATTTATTCTCAATAACTTATTGTAAGGTTTTTGCCTGTTAAAATTATTTAGGTGTCAAGAAAGTAGGTTATTTTGTCAAGTATTGTGTTTTGATTATTTTGTGTATAATTATATTAAAAAATAGGAACCAGAACAGAATTACTACCAAGTTGTAAGTTCACTTACAAATCTATTTTTATACAACCAAGCTTCCTTCCTTTGGATATAAACTTTCAATAAAAATGTATATTGGTTTTAAAATCAAAATAGGTTTATTTTTATTTGTTTCTCTTTTCGCTGGTGACAATAAATTTTTCGTAATCAATCATAATGTTCAACTTTGTGCAACTAGTTGCATAAAGTATATTATTTTAACACTGGCTGCGATTACAAAAAGTGTCACTTTATATGTCAAAATTAGAAAAAGAATAATATGAAACAAAATGAAATTGAAGTTTGAGAGGTAGTGAATAACCAATAGAAATAGATAAAAATAGCTAAAAAGAGAATTAAGTACTAAAGAGAACATAAGGACCATGACAGGTACTGATGAAAACCCAACAGACAATGTCTACCAAAAAACAACAAAGGATGGTTTATAGTCAGTAAAAATCTGACACTGTCAGGTCAAGCAGGAGAATTTTACTCAGTCCCACAGTAGATCTGAAAATTTCTTGGTGGACAAGGACAAATAATGTCTAAATCCTTTCAAATATAATTATAATCTAATTTAAAATAGTTTAGGTAACCTTAATCATCTTATCCAGCCATCATTAGTTATACAGGGTGTCCCATTAGTGCGTAATGATTTAATAATTCAATTTGTTTAAAAATTCTACGCTAGTAAAAGAAAAGGAGTTTGAATATGAAATTTAGATTGCGCAACTCATTTACTTTAAAAAAGGTACTCTTGATAAGACTCGATTACTCTCATGGTTTTGACGAAATTTGCATTTTAGTAATTTTAGAACACAAACAATAATTATTAAAATACAAACTTTGTCAAAACCATGAGAGTAAATCGAGTGTTATCAAGGGTACTTTTTTGTAGTAAATGAGTACCCAATCCAAATTTCATACTCAAACCCCTTTTTTGCCATTGGCGTAGAATTTTTAAAGGTGCAAATATTTAAAAAATCAAGTTCTATCGGACAAAATTTTATAGGATAAAAAACATAAAAATGTACTTTTTTCATATCTTCTTCAACACCTCTAATCGAGACTTTTGACAAAAATACTCGATTCTTGCCATGTACGATTTTTTGAGGAATAATAATTATTTGCCTGCAATACGTATACAAAAACATTTATTGTTGGTTTCCATAGTTTCATCTAAATAAAAATATTGTCAAGTTTTAACACCGAATATCTTGTTAACGATTGAAAGTGTTCTATCTGACTCAATAATTAGAAAAACAAATGCTTGGTTTATTAATATGGCTGTACAATATACCAATGCAGAATATACCGATATGTTACTGACATTAGGATTTTGTGAAGGAAATGCTCGAGAGAGTGTCAGGGTGTACTCTGAAAGGTTTCCAAATCGTCGTGTACCTAGCCACCCAACTTTTGCTGCTATTGAGAGACGTCTTCTGGAGACCGGTTCCTCTGCTCCTAACACTGTTGATAATGGAAGAGAACGTTTTGTAAGGATTCCTGAAGTTAAAGAAGACATTTTAGAACGTGTTGAAGAAGATCCAGAATTAAGCACCAAACGAATTGGAAGGGAACTAGGAGTAAGTAAAGATGTCGTTCATAAGGTGTTTAGAGAACAATTGCTATATCCATACCATAAGAAGCCAGTACAAGAATTATTAGCCACATACAACTCTACCAATATACCAAATTTCAGCAAAATCGCATATGTCGTTTTAAATTTATGTGGGAAAAACGATTTAAAAATTGTAACTTCAAGGCCCTCTGGAGCCCAAACGAAGCAACTTTGTACTTAGGTAATTTTACTTAAATCGACTTATTTTGGTCTAAGAAATATGTGGTATGTTTTTGTAAAGACCTTTTACAGACGTATATTTAAAAAAATATATTTAAAAAATATTTTTAAATTGCGTTTTTACCTAGCAAATAAAAATTTACATTTTTAAATAGCACACTGTATTTTGGTGTAAAGCCGAGACTAGATCACCTTAGAAGCTTTGGTAGTATTCCTTATAGATTTAAGATTTCAAAAATATATGAAACGTTTGCGTTACTTTTTCTTTAAAACTGTTTCAAAATTACATTCCGTTAGATTTTTTTTTTAAATTATTTTATTTAAAAATCAGTTTTTGACATAAAAAAAAAACAAAAATTAAAGTATACCTTTCGAGAATTTCGTTTGCAGATATGCACGTTTGCTGTTTTCGCCTTTCCATCTCTAACGCCAAACGCCGTTTGTGCTGATCTTGCGTTTTTCGATCCATCGGAATGGCTCTGCTCGAGTCCAGGGATCGCTGATGGGTCGGATAGCTGTGCGAAGGACGTATCGCGTTACCGGTGTCCCTAGGGAATAATCATAAATTATGGTAATCAGTATATACGTTGTCAACGTTTTATTTTTTTAGTAATATAACGCTCACCGACGGCAATAATTATGGCAACATCTGAAAAATAGTAATGTTGAAGAAAATTGAGTTTAAAGATTTCGTTAATTTTACTTTTATCAAATATAATTGAGTATAAATAGGAATTTGAAGTTTGACGTCGATTATGATTAATTTTTTAGATTATAAATTCATAGAGAATAATTTGTTGCAATTTTTTGATTTTTTAAGTTGAATTTGACTAGATCATAAATGGGACATGTTCAAAAATTGTTTTTATAAATAAAACTTCAAAATAAAGCAACATTTATTATTTTTTATCTATTTATTTGCCTGAGTTTAAAATTTAGTAGCCGGGAAGCTTACTCGGAAACCGCCGACACGTTATACTCTGTTTTTAACACTGATCTGTATTATTTTACTGGATAGGATATAGGCTATATTTAACATACTAAAAAATCGTTCCACCAAGGAGACCGGAAGTGCAACAATGCTGGCCGATTTGGGCAAATTATGTTGGGTTCACAGAACTGAAATTTGGGATAATTTGACATACCTAACCTATAATTTGATTAGTTTTTCTTCTATTCCTTTTGCGGGCGATGTCCTTCGGGAAATTTGATTTTTTATGAAAGAAAATATAAAAATGGAAACGTGAAGCATATTGTGTCTTTAGGAATGAACGTTTATTGTTTATTTTATACTCTTTTTACTTTGTTTCCCACAATAAAAACATCTCATCGTAGCTTGTTGACACAATTAAATGACACATGTGGTGACAAATGGAAATAGAGGTTACGTTAAATAACATCCGGTCCGCCATATTATTTGCCCAAATCGGCCAATTTTTCGGAACGTTTTTTAGGGGGCTATATCCTATCCAGTAAAATAATACAGATCAGTGGTTTTTAAACTAACAGGAGCGATTTGAATTTAAGTTGGCAATTCTGTAGCCTTATGATTGGTCAGATTACAGTCAGTTTCACACATTACTTTTTAGCATGAACATCAGCTAATAATTGATATTGTTGACAGTTCTGACATTTTATAATTTGATATCTCATCCATTACTTACTTTTTTACTTTATTTCGTAAATAATAGTTCTTCAGTAAGCAATTGTATTGAAAATCTACAATTATGGATCCTTCTACACTGAGTACTATAAAGGTAGCAATTCCTGAAAAGCCTTACAAGAAAGGGAAGACACCTTATTATTTTACATGCTGATTCTGAAGGTTTTGTAGAAAATGCCTTATTGGTTTTTGAAGGTAAAAAGATGGGAGATTACCATGAAGAGATGAATTCCGAAGTATTTTAGAAAAAAATAATTTTATTACTGATTTTTTAAAACTAAAAATTGATAAATTTCTAACCAAAATGATTAAAATGTAACTAAATATTCAAGCAAATTTTATTTATTAGAATAAAATAAAACTATTTACAAAATTGTTATAACATTTAAAACACCATCTACTACTTTAGGGACAATCTTAATTTGGCACAATGAGTTAACATTACTTTCACAAAAAATATTTTAAAAATACTTAAAATTAACACATAGGTATTTAAAAGATATATGTTGACATGTAGTGTTATGAAAATGTTGGTTCCAGTTTTCAAAACAAATTCTGACTCATAGGCCTGTAAACTTTTGAATGACTTTATTTGCCCTCTAGCGCATTAACCATGGGTTAACACTAAATAAGCCATAATATCCACATTAATCATAGAAGAGATACCAGTTACTCTGTGATCCATTTGTCATTCATTGATTAACTTTTACTTTTTATACCTATAACAAATATATCCTTAAAAATGTAAACAGATCTTTATATTTTATGCTAATCTGGCTACATCTGGATATTCCATTAACAATTTTCTTAAATATTCAATATCCATTTTAAAAAGATCATAGTTATTCTCAAAAAGTCGATTTCAAAAGCAAAAAAAAAGTATTTCTGACATCAATCAACAACCATATTGACTTTAATTTGACAGTGACATTTCGTTTTAGACACACATTTCAGATCACAATAATGTGAAATTTGCGACCGTTGTCTGGGACCAATTAAACAATTACTTCTATGACATTTATTCGTTTCTTAACCGCTCATTGGCCGTTCACCGACTAAGGCCGATAAAGATAATTATTTCATAAATTTTAAACACGACTGTATTTCGAAACTCGCTCTTAGTAACAAATCTAGTTACTTTTCCCTGTGTAAATGCGTCTTTTCAATTTGCTCCTTCTAGTTTAAAAACAGAGTATAGATACTCGGAAGAGTTCGATGAGGCGAATGACAAACTCGTAAAATCCCGACATGTTAGAACTAATACGTCGGCGATTTATGAAATAAGAAATGTTTGTTTACTGGACATCAATCATCACTCATCATAAAACAATTTTAGTTTTAGTTTGCCTTTTCTGTTGCCTAGGTATATGCAAGTCTCTATTCAGATTATTTTTTAATATATTGATCGTGTCATAATAGGTGATTTTAATTTAATAAAGTTGGTAATAAATTTAAAATGAATTTAGTGACATTACCTAATAATACCCAATAATATAAAGTATTATTGTGTAAAAGGAAAAGAACTTTAGGTACACCAAAAAGAGGAAAGCATATATCAGCAGGGCCAACCCCAGGATAGGGCGATCCGGGCGGCATATTCGTATCAAGCGTGCAGTATCGCAGGCTCGTCTTTTCCGAGTACCGCCGAATGCATCGACGTATCCAGAGCGCGAGAACGCATTATGCTAGATCCAACGTTCGAAATTGCAATTATTAATTTTTGGCATTTGTCATGGTCACTTGTTTTTGTATCGTGCAACTAAGATGGAGAATTTTTGTTTGCCGCCAGATTTTCCCTACGTTATAGAAAATGACACAGTAAGACTTAAAATAACATTACAATAAAAAAAAATATGCCGAAAAGGAAAAAAGATATCGGTTCAACCAACATCAGTTTCAAGAAGAAAGGTTCATATGCAAAGTGGACGAAAAGTTTCTTCTTTAGTTAAAAGGAAATTTAATTCTGTGTGTGGAGAAAAATATACCTTTAGGAGAAAATAAGTTTTTAAAATAAGCAAATTATGTATTTTCTTAAAAAAAACATTAAAATGACTTTGTTTATACTTGTAATAAAACTTTGAGGCGAATGTGTTTTTGGATTATATGCCACATAAATTTAAAAATATTACTTAGGGGGCGCATATCTTGTCAATATGTTGCGATATCGAACTATGAGTACCACGCGAAAATACTGAACAATGCGTTCCCGCGCGCTGTATACCTGAACGGATTCGAGGGAACTAGGAAAATGTGAGCCTGCGATACTGGACGCTTGATACGAATATGCATCCGGGCGGCCGCCCGGAGCGCAATGTGTGGTATCAAATGAACGGTAATTGAGTCTGTAGTTGAATAAAATGCATTTTATTTTTTTAAGCCAGTGGCACACGAAGGGTGATTTAAAAAATTAGCATTTATATCAAAAAATGGCTTGTGTGGTATCAAATGAAAGGTAATTGAGTCTGGAGTTGAATGAAATACATTTTTTTTAAGTCAGTGACGCATAAGGGGGGGATTTCAAAAATTAGAGTTTAAATCAAATCATGGCTTGTGTGGTATCGAATAAAAGATAATTGAGTCTGAAGTTGAATAAAATACATTTTTTTAAGCCAGTGGCGCACAAGGGGGATTTCAAAAATTATAATTTAAATTAAATCATGGCTTTTTTTGATGAGTATTATCTTTTATTTAATTAATTTGTTCCAGAAACCAAAATGTCCGATGCTAAGAGAAAACCCTCTGGGAGTGAATTTAAAAAGCGGAGATTGAACAAGCAAACACAGCTTCAAAAACAGTCAGATGCGCTGCAGAACTTCTTGAAAGAAGGTAGTTTCAACGCTCCCACAACCGACCAACATTTGAACAACGCCCAGCACCTAGATACTGACTTTTCGTATATGGACCCCCCTTTGGACGCAACCGTCAGCATTACTGCGCTGGGTAAGTCATCTCAAACGAGTTTGGCGAGTAGTGATGTAGTTCCGTGCAGTTCCAAAAATTAAAATTCGCAAGTTGTGTAGACCTCAGAGAAACATTTAGAAAAGGCTACCGTCCAAAGTATCTCTTCTGACCCAGGATTATGACCCGACATCATGCGTGCAGCAGATAGAGTTTTTTTGGTTAAACTTGGTCCAGCTGCACCTTTGTATAATTTTAATTTTCCTTTTGATGATCAGCATAGAAGATTCTCACCAAAACATTACAAGAAAAAGCTTAGAAATGGAGAAGAGGTTTTAAGAGAATGGATGGTATATTCCGTATTTCAAAACACATTGTACTGTTTTCCATGTCGACTTTTTGCTGCACCGTCTAGCTTGAGCGCTCTTGGCAATCGGGGAATTAAACACTGAAAGCATTTAGGGGACTCTTTAGCACATCATAAAAATGCTAAAACTCATATAGATTGTTTGAACTCATGGCTTGAATTGAAGCAAACATTAAAAATAGGTGAAGCAATAGATGCAGTTTCTCAGAGACTCATTGATTCTGTTTTTTTTTTTTTTTTTTGGAGTGAGGGTAGCCATATGTGAGTAGTAGGGATTAAGTGTAAAGGTTAAAGAAAAGGTCCTTTATTTATCACAAGTCAGACTTGTGAGAAATAAAGGACCTTTTCTTTAACCTTTACACTTAATCATTGATTCTGAGATATATCACTGGTCTGAAGTTCTTTTACGCATTATATCAGTCGTTAAAATGCTAGGTGAGAGCTCTCTAGGTTTGATCCAAAAATGGAGGAACACGTTCGCAGAGTCCTCAATAAAGAAGAAATCAAAGCTACATATCTAGGGAAAACTATACAAAATGAAATAATTGCATTATTGCATGACAACATAAAGCACCACATCATTGAGCAAGTTCAAAAGGCCAAGTATTATTCCGTGATTC